GGGGGGTACCTGGAAGTGGAAGATGCCAGCATACTGGCTTTGGAAGCTCTGCCCGTGGGGCACCACCCGATGGAGCACCGTATCGTTCAGAGTCAGAGAAGCGATCGCCGCCAGCAGCCAGCAGTCGCCTAGGAGACAGGAGGTCACAGGGTCAGGAGGGGGTCAGGGGTCGACGTCACACGTGCAGCTGTACAGAGGGGGCAGCCATGATGGGAGGCTGGGGAGAGGGGTTTGTATCGGAGAGGGCGAGACCCCGAGAGAGGCAAGGAAAGAGGACACGTAGCCCCTAAAAATGCCCAGAGCAAGCCAGTGAGAGGGCGTGTCCGAACCTGGTGTACTGGCACATCAACCCCAGTCCCCAGTGTCAACAGGACACACACAGCGCGCTGTGACCCAGAGACACACACCCCCGCACAACGCAGCCCCAGAGACACACACCCCAGCACAACGCAGCCCCAGGGACACCCCAGAGATACACACCCCAGAGACACACACCCCAGCACAACGCAGCCCTAGGGACACTCCAGAGATACACACCCCAGAGACACACACCCCAGCACAACGCAGCCCCAGAGACACCCCAGGATAGAGAGGGAGAGCAGTGAGAGAGAGGAGGGCTGAGGAAGGTACGGAGAGAGATGAAGGCACGTCTGCGTGTCAGAGAGACAGAAAGAGCGAGAGAGAGATGGTGGCTGACGATGACAGAAAAGTCCCACTGTCTTATCTTCCCCACTGCCCTGACCTCCCAACACACAGGGTCACCGGCGGCGCAGCTCACCCAGAGCTCCCTGACAGATGTCGGTACGCGTGGCTCCGCCCACAATGAACTGCGGGTTCGAGCAGATATCCTACAGAGAGAGGAGGAAGGACAATTAACTGGACTCTGCAGTACACTGCCCTCAGAGGACAGATACACGCTGGGGTCCAGACTCTTACTGGACACACTGTACAGACACCCCTGGGGTCCAGACTCTTACTGGACACACTGTACAGACACCCCTGGGGTCCAGACTCTTACTGGACACTCTGTACAGACACCCCTGGGGTCCAGACTCTTACTGGACACACTGTACAGACACGCTGAGGTACAGACTCTTACTGGACACACTGGGGTACAGACTCTTACTGGACACACTGTACAGACACCCCTGGGGTACAGACTCTTACTGGACACACTGGGGTACAGACACGCTGGGGTACAGACTCTTACTGGTCACAATGGGGTACAGACACGCTGGGGTACTGACTCTTACTGGTCACACTGGGGTACAGACTCTTACTGGTCACAAAGGGGTACAGACACCCCTGGGGTACAGACTCGCTGGACGCAGTGGAGAAACGCTCTGTCCAGCTGTCAGACTCTCACCCCGGGCCTCAGCCACCGGACGCCCTGCGTCTTGCCGGACCGGGGCCCCAGCTCCTTGAAGCCCAGCGAGGACGGCTCGGCGGGGAACGCGTCATCTTTGAACAGGGTCCGGTTCTGCAGGCAGTGGTCCCGGAGCGTCTCGTAGTCCTGGCCCAGGTACTTGACAGCCTGGTGGTGCTGACCCAGACCGCCTTCCCGGTCCCACTGGCTCCGCAGACGCGCCGCCATGCCCGAGGCAAACACCTGCTCCACCACCGCCATGTCCGCCCACTAGCGCACCGGGGACCAATCAGACAGCAGGCAAGGCCGGAATGAACCAATCAGACAGCAGGCAGGGACAGAGGGAGCCAATCGCAGACCGCCTCTTGTGCCAACTGTAGAACCCAAAGGGCCAAACGGAGCCAATCAGATTGCAGACAGAGCTGGGGAGAGCCAATCACAGAGCAGGGCGGGGGAAAGGACAAAGCCAATCACGAGGAACCAGGCAGAAGAGGGAGCCAATAGCAGATCAGTAAGAGTCTCAGTCAGACGGCAGACGACTGCAACAGAACAACAGGGCCCGTTGGGGAACACGGCGATGGCCAGAGGGAGAAATCGCGCCGATTACAGCGTGACGCAGGACCAGTAGAGACCAGCCCAACAACGGCAGAGGCACAGCAAGGAGACAGTAGCAACCAATCAGAGCCCAACAGCGGAGCAGCAGTGGCCAATCACAGAACAGCACTGGGACAGCGCGGCCCAATCAGAAGGGAGGAGGAGGAGGAGGGTACAGATCCGGCCAGGACAGCATCCCCTGCTGGAAAGAGAAGAGAAACACACCCATGGGGGTTCAGAGTGCAATGCCAGTTACAGGTTACAGGTTGCCATGGGCAACACCGCCGATGAGGACCAGGTCAAACGGTGGAAAAGCACAGCGGCGTGCGACAAAATAAAGCACGTGTTACACCGCGAGGGACCTGGAATGCCACCTGACCACCGTCCCCTGCAAATGACAGAACCCCCTTGCATTCCACCGTTTCACAATCACCTGCAATACGTGAACTACAGCCCAGCTTTCGCCCTGCACATTGGCGGCACCTAGTGGCGACCCCTTGTCATTACACCGCTGCCGTATTCCACTGCGGGACGGCCTTTACCGACAGGCCGAGAGGACTGAACCTCTTTGGTCTTCCTCAGAGGAGACTAACACAGCAGCACTGACCCCCTGGCATTGTCCCAGACAGGAAATTCGCTTTGCAGGCAGGTAAAGACACAAGTCACACAACATCCTTCGACACAACATGAACCCCTTAAGAAACCATGCATGCATGGTGAGACAGAACAAAAGAAATCTATAAATGACGTGGAATAAAATAATTTTACCACTAGTGGCTACGTGCAAACACGCAGGCCACGAAGGTCTTGTGTCACCCGTGTGGATTCTTGTAGGAGTAATGAGCACGTTGGGGCTGATGCCTCCTATGTAATGTTATGTTTATTATTCATGTTATGTTTATGTGGTGCTGTGTGTGTGTGTGCCTCTTGGGGGCAGAGCGAGCGTCTGAGAAATCCACCTGAGACGACAGCTCCATCGTGTCCCATCACAGGGGCCCTGTCCTCAGGCAGCAGGGATCTGTCCTGCGACACTTCCGACTGTTTCTAAAGCTGCAGCTGAAACAGCCTTGTACTGGCTCCTGGCTCCTGGCTCCTGTCCGCTTGGCTTACAGTTTTGTCTGGTATGTTCTTGTTTTATTTTATTGATTTTTATTTATTGTTTTTTTATCACTATGTACAGCATTCTTGGATTTGGAAAGGTGCTTTATAAATAGAAACTATGATGATTAATAAACTATTATTATTATTATAAATACAGTAAGTGTTCCAAATCCTCAGGGGCATCAACAGAGCCAGCCCAGCGAGCATCAAAATCAAGCGTGAAGCACCGCCCACAGGGCTCAAGGAGAAGCACTGCAAACCAACAACAGGAGGCTCTTCTTTACACAGAGGGTGGTGGGAGTGGGGAACAGGCTGCCCAGCCCTGTTGTCACAGGTTATACTCTGGTTTCTCTCCGGAAACGGCTGCAGGAGATTCTGGGATCAATCAGCTACTCTAGGCCAGTCGGGCAGCTGCTCTTGTCTGGGACCTGTCCTGTGTCCCTGTGTCCCATACCGGTGACGAGAGACGACGCGCTGGAACCCTGCAGCGCCGCAGTTTCTGACGCTAGAAAAACTTCAGCAGCCGACAGAGGGCAGCTGGGATATATTAGTGCTCCTGCTGCACACGGCCTAAAAAAAAA